GAAATCAGATTTATCGCGGTCTGTGCCTTCAATACCGTAGTGGCGAGGTTCTCATCCAGAAAACTGTTCCCTCTATCAACAATTGGTTGTTCTTCTTTAGAAACGAAGCCAGTTCATAGATACCAGCACTACAAATCACTACAAATTGATATGAATCTGTGCCAGTTGGTCGTAATCAGCAGAGTGAGCTAGACATCCATATACATAGGTAGAGTTCTGTCCTGCGCTAGCGCCATCATTATAGTCACACCAAACCAGGCTACCTACCGTTTCTAGACTTCCTCCTTACTGTTAGAAACCGAGCTGGGAGTGAAATTTCCATATCAGTCCCCTCATCATAATCATAGGAAGTTTTGCGGACAAACAGACAGACCACTGGGAGTTACTGCTTCATATAGAGGGAGAATGGTTGCCAATTTTGAAAACCTTGTCTTTCGATAACAATCAAACTGACTTGATTTCCTCAACATCCACATGTTTCGTCTCATCCCAATGCCAGCCATTTTTTCCGTTGCCACACGACCTCAGGTCTGGAGTTTCAGTGAATGGTGTTTCCCAACCTTCGGCCGTTAAGTTATTACCTTTCCATCCATGAAACATGAAATCTCCATCGTGCCACCTTGAAATAGTTCCTCGCTGTAACTGGTGATAATTCATAATAACGTGATCAGTAATTTATGAGCATCCGCTTTTATTCTCAGGCTTTTGAACGCTACCTCATCCAAGTTACTTTTTTAAATTTTTTCACAATTTAATCCGTCCACCTGCTTGCGGTGAGAAAGCCATCACGGACCCATCCATGCGCTTTTCTATAGAAACGCAATCTCCCTGGCCATAAACGTGTGGCTCCAAGTGCCTGTCTGACGCAAGATACAACGGCCATATAGGTCTCATACGAGGTCGCATTAAGCCATATATTATGACAATTCTTCCTCTCCTGTATAGCGTCAGGAATGAGCGTATCCAAGACGTGGAGCTGAAGCAATCACTATTTTAGAGAGAAAGTAAAACTGTTTAGTACACATGAGTCCATGAAATAACTGGTCGGATGGGGTGTGGTGCGTAAGGAACGAAACGCTCGCGTCGCGGTGAGAGGGGCGTCGCGCGCGAAGGAATGTAGCAGGATGCAGCAGTAGGTAAGAAATACAAGAACAAATGTACTAATAGTAGGATTATGCATAAAATAATGATCGCATATCGATTGAGCTGTATGAAGAACGCTAGAGCTGTAATAACGGCGAAAGAGTGGTCCGCGACAGCCGCGTGCGGCAAATCGATTTCCCAAAATCGTTCGTAACGCCCGTCTCCCGGATTTAACCCTTATCTCCTCGGGCTACTAGTCAGCACATTCTCTGCAACCTATCATCCCATCAATCAGATCAAGCCTTTAAAACTACCTACTAATGTTGCCGCCTAACGATAGCACCGAAATCAGAAGCCGTTATTCATGGTTTCCTATATTCACGCATTAAAACCGTCCGTCGCATTAACAAATCCTAACAGTATTCGTTTTTGGGTATGTATGTTTCGTTGCAAGTAATAAAGGGATGAGAGGAATTCTAGCCTTTTTTAGTCAGACTAATTTCTATCGCTCCTCGCTTTTTGTTAAGCTACTTCACTATTCCCTCTAATCGTATGAATCATACATAATTGTCAGAGCTTCGCCGTAAATATGGACAGAGTCAGGACCTAAGTTGCTCTGATTGTGAGCTCCTTTACCAGCCTTTGACAGCTTTTCTGTTACCATTTTCCTATTATGAAAACACAAAGGGCGTAACGGGTAACGGAACTTCTCCCCAATTGCGGACGTTCGCTTTGCGGCATGCGGCAAAGCTTTTTTAGTTGTCTCGTGGCTCCAAACTGCAACTGCAGTACTCGGCCCGCCTCCCTCCAATCGATAGGACGCAATATTTTCTATTGACTGCCTTTCTTTTTCGATTGATTTTAATTGTTTTTCTCTTTCTTTTCATTTTCAGTTTTATTGGACTTACTTGTTTGGAATGACTACTCCTCTGTTATACATGATCACCAGCGAATTCAACTAACTAAAGGACTCTCTAATGCACAAGTTGCGCGCTCCAATCTTCCATCGCAATTCTGCGATAAACGGCGGGTGTGGCGAGCGCGGTGCCGTGTTCCGGGGGAAGATACCGGATCCATGGCGTAACAGACCTTCAATAGTCTTTTATCAGACCTTATCAGTTGTTATCACTTCCTATCACCAACCATATTCCGCCCCTTTTCACCTCACATCACCCGCAAAGTGTGAAGGACTTACCATTAAAATGAAGGGCATGATCAACACAGCGGCTCGTGCCTTACATGGCCTCTAATCAGCCTCTATCAGTTGTTATCAAGTCCTATCATGCGCATAGTCTACGATGCAATCTAACTCCACGTTACCTACCAAACTCTCAGATCTTTATTGGCAGGGCAAAAGACGAAACTAATCCTGTAGCTTTTTCCTTCTGGAGTTCCTTTCAGTTGTTATACTTCTTTGAAACTCCCCACCTCTAGCCCTTACGAAATCTGAACACCTTAGGTTCAGGAGATCAGGAACTATGAACTTCTAGTCGAACATACACCGGCACAAAAAGAAACAAATAGAAGGACATAATTAAATACGTAGATAGGTAAGTCAATCAATCACACAAACGGACTTTACTAAAGTCATAACACCTAAAAGTGATTTCGGCAAAACTTACGAACTTCTGATCAGTTTTCACTGCAACTTGCATGCCATACATATTTTATGGTAAGTAACAAGGTGAGTCTTTGAAGGGAAGATTCCTACATGCAGTACTCCATTGTCCAGCCCGTTCCAGCCCTCGTGTAATGTGAACTCTCGATCTGCCCATTTTATAAGAAAATCTCTTCCAAACTCAGAATTGCGAACCTGAATATATACGACAGTATAAAGTACATCAATCTTCCAGAAATCCTTACCATATAACTTGCAGCAGAAATTTCACTATTAAAAAACCTTTCATATAGAATGACGTCCACACGGTCATCTATCCACTCTTCTATACAATGATTAGGATTGACCACGCCTAAAAGTCATACGAGAATGCTCAAAGACCCTTCATTAAGGGAAGGATTGAAAACTAAGTGGAAGTTTATGATAATATACTCAAAAACCAAAGCGATGGCGGCCTAGAGAGACTTCGTTCTGCATTTCTCCGCAATCTCTGACTCCGAATTTCAGTAGGCATACATCGTGAGAAGTTAAGTGTAAAAAAATTGAAGTCAGTGGAGCATAAAAACTACTATAAGCAAATGCATCAAAAAGACAAAATAACCACATAGACCAAAGATGGCTCGTTTCGCCTCTTCACCAGACGAACCACCGTCTCTACCTTCTCCTGAGGTTCATCAGTGGTTTTGGGTTGGTGGAAAAAAGTGATGGATGGTCTGGGCGAGCAAGCTCCAGCCTTGTCAGCTTGTGGCGAGTACTGAGTCGAGTAGCCTTCTTCATCTTCTCTCGTGTGATATACCCATCAGAGCGGATAGAGCGCCAAACGTTCGTAGGCGAGACTGATAAACCTATCTGAGCTCGGGTCTGACTCACAGACAAAGAAGTATTCGTCACAAGACGGGCTATTCTCCTGTTGTCCTGAGCAGTCAAAAGACGTGGGTGGCCAGGAATAGGTTGTGAGCGATAGCTGCCAGGGTCTTGAATGAATCCAGCAATGCATGAGAAAGAGCGGACCATTTACCGTTTCGAAAGGATGCGCACACTCAAAATTTTTCATTTGAAAGGTAACTAAAGGACCCACCGTAACGAAACCAGTCTCTAACGATTTCTCGTAGTCGATAACCTTCACAAAAATTTAGGGGGCCTTACTNAGAGCGGATAGAGCGCCAACGTTCGTAGGCGAGACTGATAAACCTATCTGAGCTCGGGTCTGACTCACAGACAAAGAAGTATTCGTCACAAGACGGGCTATTCTCCTGTTGTCCTGAGCAGTCAAAAGACGTGGGTGGCCAGGAATAGGTTGTGAGCGATAGCTGCCAGGGTCTTGAATGAATCCAGCAATGCATGAGAAAGAGCGGACCATTTACCGTTTCGAAAGGATGCGCACACTCAAAATTTTTCATTTGAAAGGTAACTAAAGGACCCACCGTAACGAAACCAGTCTCTAACGATTTCTCGTAGTCGATAACCTTCACAAAAATTTAGGGGGCCCTATTGATTTCTGATCTCAGTTATATTTTTGTTTTTTGCTAAGTGTGCACATACTTTTGAAACAAAGAAAAAAATTTTCTTTAATAAAAAATTTTGTTAACAGCTACGATGTTTTCTCAGAGAAAGTGGTCGTAGGTTATCGCACACAAGGAATCCAATGGTGAAGGTCACATGTTACAGAAAGCAATGGTATTCCCAAAAAAACAAAATGTTGGGTGTGCACATACTTTTGAAACACACTGCATTAGTATCGCAGTGAAGAAATCTGATGACATTGAGGCATTGAGGCTGTAATCTTCAGTTTGTTATATAGCTCAGTACTTATCTTACCATTGGTTATGATAATACTCAACTCTGGATAATTACTATTTCTTTCACTCAGATGTGTTTTTTTGAGTTCAGTGTATTTTTATATATTGAAGAAAGTTGTTCTTCAATATCTAATTCAGCTTGGTTATGTACTATTGATAAATCGTCCATATATCTGAATGGAATGATTGGCTTATTATTATTGAATCTTTGATCTTTCGAATAATCATATCCCGTTATTGAAAGTGTCAGATCCGCTAGGAGGGAACTGAAGTTGATGTTGTAAGGCTGCTCCCAAGACTCGGAAGCGCCATGTCTAAACGCCAGGTTTACCCAGCGTTCATGCAGTTTAAACGCAGTAAGTCCATCTAGACGTCTAGATGAGCTGGACTTGGGTGGTCTGCCCATTATTTCTTCCAAAGTCCCGGTTAATTGGCGCAAGTGTAACTCAGTTCTTGGACGTTGAGGATCTATTTGGGCCCATGAACCATATTGCTGCCCACCTCTGGCGTTTTTGTCGAGCTCTTCTGATTTGCAGATTTGCACACGCACGTTCTTTGACGATGTTCACATCATACCTGTGTCGGCATCCAGAACAAGCATCCAATCTGTATCCCTCAAATACTCTGCTGCTATGCAGTGCCTCTTGAAGAGAAACTAAACGGAAGCTCTTGGTTCGATTCTTCATAACATAAATGTCATCCTGCATTACAGCCTAGGCATTGCTTACACATGAGTTTCTAGTGCTTTCCCAAATGGGTGTGATTTCTGCAGTACACATGTAAGAGTAACTGATACCTCGCTGTATTTTTGACATTTCTTCTTTGTTCGCTCATCATTTTCCAAATTGACCGTAATGAGCTCATAGTTAACACCTTTCAGATAGCATTTCATCGAGCTTTGCGCCACACGATACATCCTGAATGAAGCTAGTTTGCGATTCGACGATACAGGTACGAGGTTGTTTCTTTTGAAGCTGCATGATAAAACAACTGAAGTTCAAGTGATCAACGTTCGATATAGGCTACACATTTGGATTTTATCCAAAATCGTAGAGGGGCTCGAGCCTTAGACATATGAAACCAGCGAGAACCATCAGTTTTCTTGAGAGCGATTTTTTCATCTTCAAAGCAGCAACAATAACAGCAGTTGCTGATCTCGTATATACTTTTCAACTTGACCGAACGATTCTCTGGACGGAAACATGGGGTGAAACTTAATAATCGAGCTCTCAGCTTTTTCTTCTAGCAGTGCTAGCTGTAACGCTGCATATGTGACAGACCTTGGTCTGGTTTTAATGTTTTCGACGTTGGGTGATCTACAGAACTTCCCTTGAGACTCAGAAGTCCCTTCGGTGTCTATTTTGTCGCGTTTTACAACCTTTAGATGATTTTTCTTACCTGAATCACGAAATATCGCTTCAGTTTCTTTTTGAATCGCTACTCTACGACTCAGATGGCCCTGCTAGCGCCGGGTTCTCCTCCAACACGTGAAACTTGGCCTGTCGCTCACGTCCGCAAAATTGGACACTGGTGCAGGAGAACAGGAATTATAAACTTTTGGGCAAACACGCACCCTAACCCACTTCGTGAAGGTCACACGGAGTCTGGTCAACTCTCAGGTGTCGGAGTAGCTTGCTTCATCTACCCCTTTTTCCAACTTAGCTGCGCCAGTTGACTCAGATTACGCTGACTAATGCGAACTCCGCCCACCAAGGCCCTCCCGCGGGTTGGAATTTCCACCACCTACCACCAGTATCATAACGTTGCTGCCTGTACTCCTGTCGAATTCGAAAACTCAATGTCCATACTGAACTTTCGCGTACGCCCCGCTCCTTGTGGGCAGGGTCTACTCCTGAGAAATATCATCGGTGTTCCCATACAGCCGCCAGAACTCCAACCAAATTTAAACTCTCTAGGTCCAAACTAAAAATGCCGCTCACGCTCTGCCCTGGACGGGGTCGAACTCTACCACCCATCGTCATGTTCCCATAATAGCACCTCCACTCCTACCAAATTTGAAGCTCTAGACCCAAATTAAAAATATTCATGCACAGTCCGCTCCGGTTGGTGGAGGCTAGCCGTCTAGCCACCCATCGTCAGTGTTCCCTACTGCTCTGAGTACTCGTACCAACGTTTACTCTACAGATCCACGGAAACAGGAGTTACGACTTTCAGGAAAAACATTCCGCAGCGCCCCCCCCCCCCCCCCCCCCCCCCC